TGAAGAGGAACAAAACGCGGGAAAAGTAGAAAGCTGAGAAACATATTTTGCATAGGAGAAAACGGAAAGGCGGACACGAGTCCGAAGAAGCGTTTAGAAGAAGAGAAGAAAACCAGTTAGAGTCCACGAAAAGGCGCAAAAAATGAAGGGCAAAAATGGAAATAACAACATGACACAATGGGCATTAAAAATTTAGGCCTTGTTCACTTCGTTGATTCGAGTTTAGAATTTGAGTTGAGATGTGATTTTATGTGAGAGCTTTTTACTGTAGCAAAAAAATTAAATGTGATTATTTATGAGAGTTTTTTACTGTAGAAAAACTCGAATTCTAAACTCTAGCCATCAGCAAGAAAGGACAAATTCAGGAATTCACTGTTCATTTATTGTATAGGGAACAGTGAATTCCCGTCTCCTTTAGTATATATAATAATGTCATAGCTAAATATGTAGAGATGGATATATATTTACAGCTAAATATGTAGAGATGGATATATATTTTAGGAAAAAAGAGAGAAATAAGTTAAGATTTGAGCTGAATTAAAATTAATATGTTAATAGTTTATATAAGTTAATAAATATGTTAAATTATTGTTTTTGTCAATAACTTTTTTAGCTATGAACCATAACTTGACAAGTTATTGTCTATAATTCACGATTTTTGTCCATAACTTGTTTGGTTATAAACTATAACTTGATAAGTTTATCCATAACTTATCTGGTTATGAATCATAACTTAACAAGTTATGACCTATTAATTTTTATAATTAAAAGTTGACCTATATACTTTTTTAAACTTTTCATATTAGCCTATTTTTTACTATTTTTGTATATTTTATTAGAGAAAAGGTTCTTCCAAAGAAAGTTTTTGGTGCAACATGATTTATCTATTGGATTAGACAACAATGTACTTTTTTGGTGGAGAAGACAATAGTGTACTTACCAAAGCAACATAAAGCTCAAAGTTGCCTTTGCTCGTAAACAAACTCGGAGTCTACGTTAGTTCTTTCTTCTTCATCTTGTTCTTTAATATAGATAGATTAGAGGGTTTTATGGTTGTACAGTGTAAACTTGATTCTAAGATTATGGTGAGAGCTAACTGTAATTAGTTACACCATCTAATTACTCTCTCTTTCTTCCTCTTAAGAGTGTTTATCGAATACCCCAATCCGTTCAATCTGCATAATCCAATCTAATTTGGCAGATTAGATTAGATTGAGAGAATTTTAAATTAGTAACGGATTGAAATTTTTCCATTTCGAAGTTATAAATTGAATTATTGATTGAGTATTTTTCAATCCACTAAATCTGGCAATCCAAACTATATCCATTATATATACTTTTCTATGATGAATTTGAGTTTTACATTTTAAATTGTTGTCACAGATTTGAATTTTATTTTAGATTTTGTGTTGTAATGTTTTAGGTTTTGTAGAACTATTTGAATTTTATGTTGTGTTATATTTGTGTTTAATTTTGTTAGTAATTTTATAAGAATATTGAAAATGGATAGTGTACAAGAGTCGAGGTCCAAAACATAAGTCCATCGGTGAATCCGCAGAATCTGTTTTGTACTAAATTGAATTGAATTGAATTGAATTAGGAGTTTCATGAATTGAAGATGAATTGAGTTTTTCCATTGCACAGTAAAAGATTAGATTGCAGATTGATCTTTAATCCGCATAATCCAATCCGCGAACACCTCTAGTTCCTCCTCTCCCTTGGTTTTATTCACTTCTTTGCAAACGCCATTGCCACTATTGGCTTAAAAAAAGAGAGATTTTTTATTTAATAATTTTAAAAAAAAGGAATGAGATGTTATAATAGTTTTCCTAATGAATGTGGCAAAAACAATTTTAGTTTTTCTAGAATATGAACTTTAAAAATGGATTTTTATTCTATTAAGTTTAGTTTGTTAAGAAATGGTCGTGTTTTTTTTTTTTTTTGGCGATCGATCATGGACGACGAGAGATCCGGGCAATTCCCCCAGTGCCACTGGTGAACCAATCCTTAGGGCGGCCATGGATAGTCTCCTCGTCCTCGAAATATCCTGCCACGGGAAGGACGTTCCTGGCAAAGAATTGCTCTGCCACTTTGTTTCAATGCCATAAGAGACTTTTGGCACGCTGAAAGAGTAAAGGTCTTCTGCCGCGCTGGTCACCGTCTTTGAGGAGTAGAAGATGACGTTGATTGTTTCCGCCAGTCTAGATTAGGAATTCCTCTACCAGTTTACGATCGTTAGCGACTGTGATTTTGAATGAGGATCTTATCACCGTCCGAATACGCACCACAAACTTGTACAGATATGGCACAGATACGCTCCACATTTGGGATTCAAAGCTAGATCTGCGTTTGCCTAGATCAGTCGAACTCAGAGACCGAGAAGAAAATCCAAAATCCAATGAGAAAAATCTGAATAAACAAAATAAATTAACTTACAAACACTGATTGTGGGGACCCTTTGGAGTGTTGGATCCAAAACCCCATTAACAAAGAATTCCGAATTCTTTTTCCTTTCCATATTTTGTATCCCAACTTCTGTTATTTTGCGGTTATAGAGAAACCCAAAAAAAGAAAAACCCTATTTTTTTTTTCTTCTTGTTTGCTCTTCATATTTGAGCTTTGATTCTTTTGTTGTAGAAGATTTGTGTTTATTGTTATTGGTATTGGTTTACTACGCCTGAACTGGCTGCACAGATAAAGCAAACTTCAAAGCATAACTCAGAGGTAAGAGAAAGAAAGCTCTTTTTTTCATTATTTTAATAAATCCACCTTCAATGTGAGAAATTACACATAAGGATTGTACAGAAAGAAACAAAGGGGTTGTTCTTTTAGAGTATAATTTGAGTGTAGTTTTTGAGTTGAATTTGAGTTATAACTTGAGTTGAAGTTAGAACTTGAATAAAGTTGAGTAAAATTGAATAAAGTTGAAACTTAAAAGAACGTGAACTTAAATAAAGTTGAACCTTGAGTTGTCTTTTTTTGAGTTTTTTGGACAAAAGAACATGCCCAAAATCTCTCAGAAACAGGGATTGTACAGAAATTGATATAAAACAAAATCTAAACGGGATTGTACAGAAACAAAATCTCTCAAAGAATTATTTAAAACAAAATCTAACATAACATCTAAAAGGGATTGTACAGAAATTGATATAGGTCCCGTTTATTTCACCGATTCGAGTTTTATTACAGTAAAAAGTTCTCAGAAACAGTCACATTTAACTTTTTTGATACAGTAAAAAGTTCTCACATAAATTCACATCTCAACTCAAATTAAAAACTCGAATCAGCGAACTAAACGGGCCCATAGCCTTTCACCGCATGAAAATAATCAAACACGAGATCTAATGTGAGCCTGCCAATAGTTCAAAAAAGAGGATCGTGCTAGAGAAATTTCTTTCTTTCAAAGTTAATAGTGTTGATTTTAGAAACGATTTTAAATGCGGAAGTGTGTATCTAGCTGATCGTATATAATAAAAATTTCATAAAATTCTTGAGATACTCCATAGAATACATTAATTTATACACAAATTAATTAATTTATGAATAAATTTACTTAGCAAACGATTAGGACGATAACTTGAGTTCTTTGATCACGAACAATCCTCGCTCTAAGCTTATTTGGAATATCTGAATCTTTCTCATCAATTCTTTGAATTTACGAAGACGTGTGTGGGCACACTTGAAACAAAATATGATTATCACTCAAAACACCCAAGTCTTCCCCGAACACCAATACATGCACGACGTGGAACTAGGATGAAGAACTTTTCTTTTCTTTTCTCACTCTATAAAACCGGCCACTAGGGCTAAGGGAGAGCAAAAAATTGTACTCTCTAATTTTTTACAATCTCTTATTTATAGAGTAGCTATTAGACTCCCAGAGAAAATATAATTTTTTTTCTCTAAGATAAAGTTTGATAATGATCTCTCACTTCTAATTTATTTTTGAAACAAAATCATCTCTCTCTTATCCTAACATGGCCGGCCACCATAGGGCTATTATCCCCTGTGATTAGCGTCTCCTACAGATAGGGGAAGGAGAAAACTTTTTCTCATTTATCTTACAGTCTAATTTTGACAAAAATTTAATTTCTAATTAAAGTCAAACCTTAATTAATTCGAATCCTACTTGGATAACTTATCAAATAAGTCAATCGGATAACTTATCAAATAAGTCAATTGGATAACTTAGAGAGCATATAATTAATTGTCAGAGGGATTCCTATAGTGCTGGACGTGTACACCATGTGGACCCCTCTACATGTGTGTTCTAAAATTCAAATTAAATAATCACATTATTTAATATCTAATTAACTCTCAATTAATTAATTTTGAGTGTTTTATTTAGAATTCCATAATTATAAAATTTTCCTTTTGTCTTTAGTGTCTTGTAGAATTGCAAGGACGACGCGGGGGCTCATGGACCTATAATTCTAAGCTCTAATATAATTAATAATTAATTAATTAATTAATTCTATTATTTCTAAAATTACTCAACTATAACTTAATTGCACTCTCGTAATTATAGATATAATTTACTTATAAAACTATGAAGTGTCCATTTGATATAATCATTACATATAGATCAATCCTTCATAAATAATTCATAATTAAAGTTAAGTAAAATATGTTAACCTCTCTAATCACATATTTATTCTTGAGTACTATTAATTCTCTAATGGATAGCGATTCGTAAAATAAATTCATGAATAAGAACTTTTACTTATTCAAATACTGAATCAACCGAGAATTATTTCATTGGACGCTTTCAAGTTTTGGTTTCTCGGGAAATTGATGACAGAATTAATGATCGATTGTCATCTATGCCACACAGTTTACATCAACCACACTGTTTCATGTTGGGATTGTTTAAATATAATATATAAGAATTTGTTAAGTTTTATCACATCTAAAACCAGACATAATTTCTAGCAAGCATGGCGTTTTGGCCTGAGTTTGGGAGTTGCGGCGCTAGAATGGACATAATTTCCAACAAGCAGAGCGCTTTGGTGCTGACTTTGGGCGTCGCGGTGCTGGACTGGACAGAAAGCAGAGCGTTGCGGTGCTGAGTTTGGGCGCCGCGGCGCTGAGTTTAGGCGCCGCGGCGCTGAGTTTGGGCACTGCGGCGCTCGGGCTTGCGTGGACAGTTTCTGGTTTTCCAGAAACTGGCGCTGCAGCACCCGAAACTGGCACATCGTCGTAATGATCAGACACGATTTTGAAACTTGAATTGACACCAATTCAAATGAAAAAGGTGTCTCTTCAAGTTTGGTTGTGTCTGTACGTATTGGTGTGATAAAAAACTACAAAAAGAACAAGAATTGCTGATAAATCTATGAGATATAATTCTCTACAATTCTTCTCTCTTCTTGTTCAAAATTTCCAGAAATTCTAAGAGTTCTTATGTTCTTAGTGTTGTTGTCATTTTGCTTGTGATTAATAACTTGAAGGCTTGTCATATCCTACAAGCGATTTGCCGAGAACCCGAAGCAATCTCTAATGAGAGGGGGCAAATTACGCTTTAAGGAAAGCGTACTTTCTACATGTTTCAAGTCTCTTTTTCTCAAGATTTCCAACAATCTTAAAGCGTAACTTGCTGCAATGGAGACCGAAACTACCGTTGCCACTATGAAATTGATAAACCAAGACTTGGTTAAATTGGATCACTTTGATGGGACTAACTTTACAAGGTGACAGGACAAATTGAGTTTCTCTTGACTGCATTGAAGATCTTCTATGTTTTGAGTCCATATTTGGAGCCTATTCCCAAACCAACCGATGATGACACTGAAACATTGAAGGCGGAACAAAATAAATGAGAGGAGGATGAGTTGATATGCCGTGCCCACATTCTCAATGCTATCTCCGATCGTCTCTATGATCTTTACACTAATACATCTTTTGCAAAAGAGATATGGAATGCACTGGAGTTCAAATATAAAGCCGAAGTGTGATTAAATTAACACTAGCAAGTGTATCAATCGTTCAAGTAATAAAATGATGAGTAAGATATCGTTTCCCAACGAGGATTGGTAAAATTCACAAGTAAAGCAATTAAACCGACTATGTTATTCGAGATTGCGAAATTGAGAGTAATGTGAATTAAAACTAAATAAAGATTAAAAATAAGACAAATATAAAGATGTAAGATTTAAGAAAGAATTCAATGAGAGAAACGTTAGAGAGTTGATTTCACCTACACCAATTCATCCATAAGTTCAAAAGAATGAATTTCAATTATTATTAACCATGAGATGGCAGAATTCCCTAATGTTTAATTATCCATATTTCGGGTCTAATCAACTATCACATATATCCTTAACTTCAAATATCCCTATTTCAGGTCTATTCTAGATTAATTCAATATGAGATGCCTTAGAATTTGTGGAATTCTTTTTAAGTTAAATTTCCCTCTCGGTTTCAACTTAAACTGACCACATGAATTTCCTTGAATCCCTAATCGGTTACTCCTCGTCCACTGATGGCATGTTCTATATTTTGCTTGAATATTATTCATATATAAGATTCAATTCACAATTTAATGTTTCCTATCACAAAGCTTTTCTATCCAAAACATCACTAGGATCAATTCTCAAATTAAATCAATGAAAAGCCCTAAGAACAATAGAACACACTCTTCACGGAAAAATAATAAATTTCAACTCCTTCAAATTGAAACTCAGAAATCCTAGGTTAGGATCCATCAATCTCTAACTAAAAGTATTAAACCATAATGAAATTAAATAAAACAAAGAGAGTTCTGGAAGACATCACCATATAAAATCCGAAAGAAGAAAAGAAGAACAAAGGGTAAATCCCTAATGGCTGAATGTTTCTCCACCAAGAATTAGCCATTCCTGGCAATAATCCCTCTGGGTCAACTCCAAAACTCTGGCCGAATCCTCTTCCACGAGCCCTGGGCAAATCCCTTTTCTCCCCTTTCTCTATCTGAAATATCCCAGCAAAAACAACTATTTGTTTCCCTCTGGAATTCCAGCCAAAACTCTATGTCTCCCTATGGAATTCCAGCCAAAACTCTCTGGAATATCCAGCCAAAAAGCCCCTGGAATATCCCAGAAAACCGCCTGGAATATCCCAGAAAACCCCCCTGGAATATCCCAGTAAAACCAACTCTGCTTTCCGTTCCTGTTTTTCTCCTTTTAAAACTGATTCTCTCTGCCCTAAATCTCTCTCTCTCAGCCACTCTCTCTCTCTGCCCGGGTCTTCCACTGGTTTCCATCTTCAAACTCTTGGTTAGAAAGATTTTTTTCCTTTCCACAGACCGTAACCCCTTATCTTCTCCAAGGCAACCCCAAATCCCGTGTATAATCTGAGGAAGTAGTCTCGTGGAGGCTGAGTAATGAAACACAATGTCGTATGGCTGGGATTAATCTCCTCCGTGTGTGGGCTTTATTGGGCTGAGATTGGGCCTTTTAATTGTGGCTTCTCAATAGCGTGGGCTGAGACTTTGGCTTTTAATTGTCGGCTTATCTGGACCTAAGCTGGCAGATTACTTAACTCATACACATCCGTAGTAGCTGGGAGTAATGTTCTATGTGTGTGGGCTTCTATGGCAAATTACTTAATCTTTTACCCATCCTGCAAAATTATATTAAGAAGTCATCAATTTGTCAATAAAATACCTTAAAACTTGCTAATATTAAACTGGCAAAAGCTTAATAAATCGGTATAAACCCATCTCGTCAAACTCCCCTAAACTTAACATTTTGGTAGTCCTTGAGCAAAAAGATGAAACAAAATAAAACAAAATCTAAAACTTGTGTCAAAATAACTACCCAATAATCGATTCAATTTGATGTACCAAGCAAGCCTCAAAGATTGCATAATTCTCATAATTCTAGAAAATCTCAAACGATGCAAAGTCTGGAATTTCAAACCTAGTGCAAGCCTCACCCTACCTGTGATACCTTTAAGTATTCAAACAAATAACCTTTCACACTTAAACCGTTGCAATCCTAATCAACTCATTCAAACCAGAATCCCTATTTGATCTCTTATGAGTAATTTCCTGAATTCCATAAGCTTGCTTTTCTTACCCCTCTCCACTAATGTCAACAACCATATGAAACTCAGATCAAAAGGTCTTTATTAAGCTTGTAGCGTAAGGATCAGGTGATGGCTCAAGAAAAGGATAAAGATTAAGCAAAGTCAAGAGAATCATTAAGGTAATGCACTAAGGGTCTATTTCTCTTTATTTTCTTGATGAAGAACGAAATCCTTTCTCACTTCCTAACTCCCCCAAACTTAATGATTTACATTATCCTTGCCTCTTGTAAGGCTAGGGTGTATTGGTCACATCTTGTTTTTTTTTTATCCTTCACATTGACAGTAGCCTCACAAAAATTTTATTTCTTCTTTTTCAGATTTCCCCTTCTCTATGCTATTGTTATTTTCATGAATCTCTTGAAAGGATATTCATTAGTTTTTCGGGATATAGGGGTAATGTTAGAGTGGCTAGAAATAACTCTATATTTGGCTCATGATGTAATTCCTACTATTGTAATGGCTCAATAGTGTGACTAGTGGTAAACTGCATCGTGGTAGGCTTAAACTGCTCAAACGGTTCAAAAATGGCCTAAATCATCTCTAAATTCAATGTGTTGTCTGGGATTTCACCTCAAGGGGTAATCAAACAAGTTCTAGAATTCACTGAGATCAGAAAAGTTTCTAAATCTGCATAAGGTTCTCAAAAAATGCACACAGTTAAATGATCCTGACTATTCATTCACCTACCCTAGGCAACTCACAGGCACAACAAAACAAACACTAGATTCAAGCACACAGATTCAGAGCATGATTTTCCAATTTCCAAGAACTACAAATCATTGCAATCAAAATCTTCTCAGTAGTTTTAGTTCACAAACTGAATCAAAAATCAAAAGACCTAAAAGACCTCCCCCACACTTATGATTGACATTGTCCCCAATGTAACAAATGAAAACTAAGGAAGGAAGAGAAGATATTGCCCTGATTTTTTTTCCTGAGATATTGTTGACATGCTAAAGCATCAACCTCTCCGCAAGTTCCACTTTTAACGCCCTGCGAATTCTCCAGTTATCTTGTGTGATGTAGTGCCCTAGAATCCATTTGCCTACAAGATAATTAGCAAATTCTGTAAACCATGGAATTTCAATAACATATGAATTAGGAGAACCGATAGAGATAGAAAAAATTTGTTCATCAGGAAACTCCTCATTTATGTCTTTCTCATCCTCAATTGTATTTTGTAGCCTTGAAAGGTGGTTAGCCACTAGATTATTTGTCCCCTTCTTGTCCTTGATCTCCAAGTCAAATTCTTGAAGAAGAAGAATCCATCTTAGTAGTCTTGGCTTAGCGTCCTTCTTCGCTAAAAGAAACTTCAAAGCTTCATGGTCAGTGTAAATAGTGACTCTTGACCCCATTAGATATGATCTAAATTTATCAAATGCAAATACTAGAGCCAAAAGTTCTTTTTTAATTGTAGCATAATTCAATTGAGGACCGGTGAGAGTGTGACTTGCATAATAGATAGCCCAAAAAATCTTGTCCTTTCTTTGACCAAGCACGACCCCTACTGCAGTATCACTTGCATCGCACATCATTTCAAATGGAAGGCTCTAATCTGGTGGTACTACAATAGGGGCGGTCACAACCTTCTCTTTCAACACCTGAAATGCCTGCAAGCACACATCAGAAAACTTAAATTTATGTTCTTTTATGAGGAGATTAGAAAGAGGTTTTGAGATTTTTGAGAAATCTTTGATAAATCTCCTATAGAATACTGCATGCCCGAGGAAGCTTTTAACAGCTTTAACTGTGGTAGGTGGAGGTAGATTCTCGATCACCTCCACCTTTGCCCTATCAATTTCAATCCCCTTGTTGGAGATCTTATGCCCTAGAATGATCCCTTCTTGAACCATAAAATGACATTTTTCCCAATTAAGTACAAGGTTCGTTTCTTCACACCGCTGCAAAACCAAAGATAAATTATGGAGACAATCTTCAAATGTTAGACCAAACAATGTAAAGTCATCCATAAAAATTTCCAAAAATTTTTCATTCATGTCCGAGAAGATTGCCATCATGCAACGTTGGAATGTCGCTGGAGCATTATTCTTCTGTAAGCAAATGTGCCATGATGGCATGTGAAGGTTGTTTTCTCTTGGTCCTCGGAGGCAATAGGGATTTGATTGTATCCGGAAT